GAGCTAGGTCTAAACTGCAGTCCACCTCAATTGATCATACCTTTTGGGAGACAAGTCTTGGCGAAATTCTAATGGCATTCTGGTGACTACTCATATAATTGTATAGAAATTCAATTATTAGCATTTCATTACATGCGACTAAGATTGACTATAGTTCTTATTTGAAATATTTTTCCTTATTTATAGACTTAATTGCTTTTGATATTTTTATTTTTTATTAATTGTAGACTCTTGCCTTATCGATAGCTTGGGACCATCAAGTGCAAACTCAGCCTCAGCCTGTTCTCTGGTGGCGCCGGTTGGCTTGCCTCCCTCTTCAACTGTTCCATCCTCCAGAGCTACTGGCTCCTCGTCATCTTCCCTTCACTCCGGTCCAATGGCCCATGGCTCGCCTCGACCCTTATTACAGCAGCAACTAGCTCTTTCACACCATTCAGACTCTGGTTCGTATTTAGATTCGATAGATGCCGAAGCTGGATGGCTTGCCGGACCAGTCGGTCGACAATTAACCGCAGAAACTCTGTTTTTGCGTGAGCTTGATGGCTGCTTGGGCCGTGTACCGCCAGCCTTCTATGAATCTGTCTATATTATTTTGGAACGATCATCACGCGGCATCCTAATCTGTAACAAAATGCTTAATCAGGTGGCTTTTTGTTGCGTTCGCTGGATGAACAAGATTAAATGTATTGATAATTTTTCTAAATTTATGGGCCGTACTAGTCAGACATTTTCCCCTCTTAATTATTTGGTGGTATTGTCAATGAAGCAAAATTTTACTTGTTATGACAATCGACTACACTTCTTATTTTTCCTTTATAAGTAGGGTTTCGAGATTACCACTCTACTACCCTGGATGAGAACCCCTTTTGAGAAAGCAAGGTTATGTGAAATTCGCTGGAAACGTCATCTCTTCTCATTTCGGCAAAATGTAACAAGTTCTTCATCAACAAAATAGGGTGGATTCATCGCATACTTTTCTATTCCTTCTTTAGAGATTAAAAAAATATATAAGCAGAGTTTCGAGACTACCAATAAACCAGTTCATTTATTTCATTTAAGGTGATGAAGGACTGGTAGTAGAATTTTCCCACAATGATATGAGTAGAGCTGACGTTTATATTGAATTTAACACAGCCTTGTTTTCTCAAAAGTTGTTCTCATCCAGGATGGACTGCAGTTTCGACCTCGTTTTGGTCTTATAAACACCCCTAACGGGAGTCGAACCGTGCCAGTGCAGAATGTGAGCTTGACACGTTAACCACTCGGCCACATTACCACGAGTTCTTTTGTGTCACAGGACAGCTGTGAATTTCAAGGAAGGCCAGTCCTTATACCTATTTTATTTGCATTCTCTGTTTATCTAAGAAAAATAAGTAATATTTTTGATTGTTATTGTAAGAATACGTTTGCTTCATCGGCGATCCCACCAAATAATGTGATATGGGTTAAAGCCTGACCTTACTTGAAATTCACGTCTGCCCTGTGACCCAAGGGCATTCATGGCAATGTGGCTGAGTGCTTAATGTGTAAAGCCGACATTTTGCACTGTCATGGTTCGACTCCAGTATACTGCCAGTCCTTCATCACCTTAAACTAAATAGGATGAATAC